GAGACACACTGAGCTGGAGGAAAAATTGTGCCATTATTGTTCGTCCTTCTTTACAGTTTATTTTTACTGCATTGTTTTTAGTTTTAATTTTGCACACCACCTAGGCCATAGTGAAATGGTTCATAAATCTAAAAATTAATTTTATTCCTAAACAAACAGGACTCATCTGGATACATTTGTGATCCTTGCCTCTGTTTTCATGAATTACGCTTTGTGAGAAAACTACTCTACCTTCTGAAGAAAAAGGAGGAAGGAAATTGATATTTTGTTTTGAGAGATGTTTTCATTTTGAAACTGAGCAATGCCCACTTTGTTTTGGTCAAACTGAGGATCACATACAGGTCGTCCTCGACTTACAACCATTCACTTAGTGACCATCTGCAACAGCACTGAAAAAAGTGACTTAATGACTGTTTTTCAGACTTATGACCACTGCAGCATCATCTGATCATGTGATCAAAATTCAGATGCTTGGCCACTAGCATGTGTTTATGATGGTTGCAGTGTCCAGGGGTCATGTGATCACCTTTTGTAACCTTCTGAAGCAAAGCCAATTGTCAGATTCACTTAACAACTGTGTTACTAATTTAACAAATGCGATATTTCTCTTAACAACTGTGGCAAGAAAGGTCGTAAAATGGGGCAAAATTCACTTAAAAACAGTCTTGCTTAGCAACAGAATTTTTGGCCTCAATTGTGGTTGTAATTTGAGGGCTACATGGATCTTGTAATCCCCAAGACCCAGAACAGCCATTAACTACATAGTATGGCTTGCTTAATATCTCAGTTTACATTTCTAAATAGGCAACACAGCCAGATGTTTTCTGGAGCTCCTAGTTCCTATGCGATATGATCATCCATATAGTTCTACAGGACTAGCCTTGCCAGTGTAGAATTGCCCTATGTTCTTGGACATAAAGCAGTCTGTAGAAATAATTCTTTTTGCCTGAATAGTAATGAAAGATAAATGCACAGCTGTATGATAACCTTTAGATCCGCATCTGGTTAAAGAAGCAATTTACATTAACCCTTCATATAATTTGTCTTTTCAAAGAGACTGAACTGTTGCATATAACACCCAATCCTCTCTGTGGCCTCAGGACCCCTCTGATTACAAAAATCAGCAAAACCATGTACATGTCTCAAAGTAGGCTGAATGTAAGGGGGAAAATAGTCCCCCAATCTTTGTAAAGTTAGAAAGCCCTGGTAATGATCATAGCCAGTTTGCTTCTCCATCCGCTCACTGCGACTCAAAGAAGAAGAAGTTGTTGCTGTTGCTGTTTGGTTTCTGATTATCTGAAGGTTGCCCATCCCTGTTTTATGTCTCAAACTCTGTTTTTAAAGGTGCCATATTTGTTTTGAATTGGCTATTTCAGGGGAATTATTGCAGACGTGGAGGTGTTTTTCATCTCAACTTTTGTCATGTCCCTGTTCTTTTTTCTTCTAAGCCCATTTGTTAGGAACAGTATATTCTGACTGAGAAGGACCATGCAGAAGAGGAAGAATAAAAAAGGTAATTGAAATCATCCTTTTTCATTGCTCTCTGTTTTTATAGGATCCCGATGGAAATCCATGTCCAATCAGGAGAAGCAGCCTTATTATGAAGAGCAAGCACGGCTCAGCCGCCAGCATCTGGAGAAGTATCCCAATTACAAGTACAAGCCCCGCCCCAAACGCACCTGCATTGTGGAAGGGAAGCGGCTTCGTGTTGGCGAATACAAGGCACTGATGAGGAATCGGCGCCAGGACGCCAGGCAGGGCTACCTGATTGCGTGAGGCTTCCTGTCCCTTTTCTCTGTTCCTCTTGAACACCGCTTTCTGAGCCTGCAGGTTCCTGTGTCTGAAATTCACCTCTTTTAAGGGAACCGCACAGCCCATCTTGTGCAAGTCAGAGATAGTTTAATAAGGTTCAGGTTCCTGATTCGTCATTAACTGTGACCTGCAATGTCTTCCTGGGTTTATTTGCCCTGACCTTACCAATAGCTAACCCAGTTCATAGTCTTTGTGTGTCTTGTAGCCTTGCCACCTGAAGGGATCAAAGATATGGTTAAACATTTTGCTGGATCGTATAAGCATGATTAGCATTTAGGTGAAATCAGGCAGTTCTGAAAGCTTAGATGAAGAAGGGAAGGTCCAGCAATGTTTGCTTGTAGAAGGTTGCTGGAAAACAGTTGATCAGATCTCATTCCAGGGAGACCAGTATTGTACAAACACGTGACCAGTGCATTGTTGTTTCTTAGGAGTAAGGAAGTGGTGGCCCACAAGATACTACTGAACTGCAGTTACCATTAGCCTCCATTACATGACCAATAATTAGGAATGCTTAGTTCAGTAATAAAAGATCACAGCTTCTCTATTCTTGCCTACCTGTTTCCATGTTGGGAAGTGCAGTAATAATGTGTGAATGCAGAGGTGGGGATGGGGTTGGAACAGAATGTAAGATGGCATAACCTTTATGATACATTGTAATGTCTTTCCTAGGCCCCAAAGCAGCCAGATGCCACCTTCCTCTTCGGATCTCATGTACCAGCGATCAGTTGGGATTCAGCTAGCTCCACCACTGATGGATCACTACTTGTCCCATGGCATGGAACCAAACATGCCAGTCATAGTGAACACATGTAGTCTGAAGCCAGAGGAAGGGGATGGGGCAGAGGACAGTCATTCAATGCCTGATGGGGAGATGTACCACTACAGTGAAGATGAGGATTCTGAGGGCGAGGAGAAGAGTGATGGCGAGCTAGTGGTTCTCACAGACTAATGTCACAAGAAGCGAGCAAGTATGGAAACTATGGACAAGCCTTTGTCCTCTTTCCAACCTGGAACAATTAATGGCATTGGAAGAAACAAGGGGGAGGAGCTTGTTAAAGTGGAAATGGACACGGAGCAGAGGAACAATTCTTTATGCCATCATCTGTGGTATTGGTAGAGTTTATTTCCCATCCATTTATCATCTGTGGAAAGGGAGGAATTTTTTCTTTGACCTGCTGAATTTACCCCAAGGAAATTGAATATGAATTGACTATGAATCTTGTAACAAATCTGGTATTTTTTCTTACTAAGGTCAGAACTCCTGTTAAGGATATCCCAAATCTTCACTGAAGTTAAATAAGAGGGAACAAAGGTATTATGGAGTCACTAAAGGATGAAGAATGAGAATTGAAATACCGAGCAGATTTCAGAACCTATAATGTTTGAACCCATCTTCCTAGCAGCTCAGTATTTATGCTCTCAGGAATGAAAGTTTGACTGGAAAAAGCTTCCTCCTTCCAATCGCAACTGTGTGTATATTTTGTGTAGTGTTCAGTTGGGTTGGAGTTAGGGGCAAATGCTCTGTGGCTGGGTAGCAATTATGTCTCTTGTTCGTTTTCTCTACGGCTTTTTTTCCTTTCCCCAAAAAGCTGATATGAAAGCTTACTTTACCAATAGCCAAACAGAGACCTCACCTGTTTACAACCTGGCCAGCTGCATCAGCTTATATTAGCCACCCAATCACTAGCATTCAACCAACATTTGGGGAGCCTTTTCACTTTCCTTAAATGAAACATCTGGGTGGAACACTTATTCCCCCTTCATTCCGGATTTCAACTAGTTCTGCCTTTTCCCCTTTTCTGCCTTCACTTTGTCTTGTGTTTGTTTTTTTCAATTCCCACTGGCCCTGCCAATAAATTCCCATGGAGCCATTTTTAGCTCTGGACTTGAATGAATAGCAACTGAGGTCTCGAAGGGCCGCCTTTACCCTTGGCAGCCTTGGCCCAACTTATAAATTAAGCCGTGGCTTGTTTCCCTCCTACCCTTGTTTGCTTGCCAATTCTCAGTACACACAGAAGAGGACGCCCTGCAACAATAGAAAGCTGACTTGATGTCTAAGGGATAAAATGTGAAGTTTCTGAGGCAATCTTTCCAAAATTGTTTCCCTACGAGGGTAATAGCTCTTTCATGCCCACCCACTAGAGCACCAAAGGTGCATGATGGGAATTATAATCCAACATACCTGAAGGGCACCTTCTTCGAAAAACTATTCTGAAACATCTTCTGTGAAGGAATAGAAATTCTTTTAAATGGATACTTTAATTGAATTAGTCTAATGATGCTGTAGTACAGGGTAGGAAACCTGCATCCTTCTAGTTGTTCGGAGTTATAATTCATGAGGAATAGGATGTTATAATTCAGCAACTTTAAAGGGGTTTGTCCACTTTTGTCACACTAGTTTATTGAGCCTCTGGTAGGTTTCAGTATACTTGTAAATTCATGTTTTCCCTACATTGAACTCAACACTCATAGTTTGCAGTATAAGTACTTGTTTGCTTACCATGCTCAAATCATCCAAGTTGAGTGTATAATGTATTCGAGTGGCTTCTTTCATCTCCTTCTTACTCTATCCTTTAGTGGCATTAGTGAAAGCAGCAGTCTTGCCTTGGTTTAAATTAGCTAAGTGTTCTTGGTTAATGATACACCAGTGGCTAGAGCTTCAGTACATGGAAGAACAGCACAGAGGATGTACAGGTCATGATATACATATGCAGTTGTGTCTCTGGTGTATTAATTATGTACATTTGCATACATTTTACATATTTTGCTCCTATCCCTTTTAGATAGTCCTTTAAATATTTTTGTACACTTCCACTGGATTTAAATCTCAGCATGGGAATCTTTTTATTTTCTACTGTCAGAAATTGTAATGTCACTGAGAAACTAAATTAGCCATTCTTAAAGTAAACATGTCATTCTTCATTTTTTGACAAATTCCCTTTTTTGTGTTAGGGTAACCAAGCTATTAATACAACACACTGATCTCCACAATTTGAGACCAGATATGAGATCATGGAAGAAATTTAGCCTTGCCCACATGATTGTATCATGCCCATTGCCAGGTGAAGCATAACAGTATGTGCACATGCAGAGATGGTAAATTACAAGCCTATTTATCATTTATGGCAGAAAAGTAAGGATCGATAATACCATATACACTGTCTGGAGTCACCCGTAGTCTAATATTACAAAAAGCCCACTAGCATCTCTTTTGTACTCCATTTCAGTAGATATGACAAAAGATCACCATTTTTTGCGTTTTTGATAACTGGGAGGTGATTAAGAATGAGATACATATCTTACATTTTACAGAGGATTTATGCACCCATTTCATTCCTTACAAACCCTTGAATATTGGTTCCTAATGTCACTATCTTTAAAAATGCGGTCCTTCATATGTCTGCCAAAGCTTATTGCAAAAAGTTGATAGAAGTTGCATGCTGAGCATGCAAAACATTATTTTTCTTGCAACAGAAGAGTATAATTGTCACTCTGAAATTTGATCTTAGTGTGTATAGTCTCATCACAGTTTAGTATCACTGTGTGATGACACTACACTGCACCTGAGGTATATCTGGATAGAATCTGGAGTTCTGTTTTTGTTTATGACAAACAAAACTCTTGTCTGGCATTATTTCATGACAGCTTTTATTATTTCATTACATTATGTATGACTTATGTCCCTGACTAGCTTAAATAAGTCCAAACTACTTGCACCTGTCAATTTATTTTCCTTTATTCTAACTTTAAAAAGAAGAAAAATGCAATTATATCTTCTAGGGAGGAAGTGAATCACTTAGTTTATGTATAATAAGCATCATGAGAATGGGTTACACCTTTTTTTGATCCTGGTGCCCTCTAGCTGTGTTAGATTACAACTCCCGTCACTTCCAACATCTTGATGGGCAAGCATCATGGAGTTATAGTCTAGCACCTTGAGAGCATCAAGATAGGCTTTGATCTATATTGTTCCCCGTTCCTTCAGTTTTTCATAATGCTATCCCTTTCTACTGTGCTTTAGCAACTGACTGCTGCTTTATTTTTGTTTTGTTTTAAAAAGTCTGTACATATAGATAGAGCTTTATTTTGTTAATAAGACTAGTAACTTAACCTGTATATTTCAACACTCTTGTTTATAAAGGGTTTTCCTTTTCTTGGTACAATAAAGATGTTTTGGAACAGAGATCTGTGCTAGTTCTAGTTTTGTAAAATTCACATTGCCACCTAACTCATTGTGCTTGTTTCTTTTAACAACAGTTAAAGGCTGTGGAGATGTGATGATTAGTCTTTATAATAGAGAAGGTACACGATGCTAGATTTCCCTGAATTATCTGCAAACACTGATGCAGTCGTAATGCATGTTTACGTGGAAGAAACTCCCAGGAAGTTCAACAAGATTTCTTCCTGGGTAGGTTTGTGTAGGATTGAAGCTTAATATTACAGTCTTGCATGTGTTTATGAGGTAGTAAATTCCACTGTTCTTAAAGGGGCTTATTTCCTTGAAAGTACTAATATAGTCTTTTACAAGTGATAATGCCATTAATGTTTACACTTCCCTCCATCTGCATGATGATACGTCATCCTTGTTCATACTGATGTGTTTAACATCGTTGAAATCTCCAGTCTATTATCTATGGGACGAAAAACATATTTCTGAAATCTTTTCACCAAGGTATCTTATTCTCAGATTAAATCTTTAGACCTTTAGAGAGGAAGAGGCGGCAATGCATAAATTCTATGAGTATTAAAATAATTGTTTTTAAACAAATGGTCTTAGAAAACCATTGTGATTAATTTCAATTGAGATTAAAAAATAACAGATTGGAGTGGTGTAAGATAGGAGTTGCTGCAGTGGCCATAAACCTCAGCAGCCTCATGTATTCATGTTGGCAGTTGTTCAAAAACTAACATGACAGAGATAGTTGGCTGTGTTTTCTTAATCATTAGTGCATCCTTTGGAATGAGAATGTCTCTGTGTTGTGGAGCAATATGCAGTACAGATCCATGTACAGTACTGTACTATATTCTGGCTGCTTTGAAGCATAGCAATTGCCTGAGAGAAATGACCTTGAGCAGGCAAATGATACTGGAAAAATCTCTTTGAGGAATCTCTCTTGATCATCGGCCCAGACATGTATGATTGTGTCCCAGGTATTAGGTTAGTAGCTGCTACTTCTTTCTATCTCTTCCAAAGCCAGTTAAACATGACAAGAAATAATACTACTTATGTAGAATAAGTATTGGAGCAGAAGACAGGAGGGATAGAGAATCTGGGATCCTTTCGTTGCTGCTGAAGCACAGCTCCCAGCCTAATTTAGGTACCGATTTAAACAAATGAACTAACCAAGGACAATAAGCTGCATAATATGAATAGTTGATTACTCAGAAACAAAACATCTTCCCTCCAGTTTTTAATTTTAACATTGGCTTTATAGATGAAAAGAGACATTTGGTGTTTAAAAGGCTTCCGTTTTGTCTTTCATTCAAGAAACAAAGTCCACCGATTTGACATGTACCTGTAGGAACAGACAGTTCATTCAGTATTGTCAGCAACTATCATAATACAGAAGAATCTTGTTTATGTACATGGAATGGAGTACATGAATGGAATGGAGTACATAAAAATTGCTAAGAAAATTAGTGGTGCCACATACAAAGAGAGATGTGCTGGCATCTGCACATTTTTATAAAAAAATAGCAAGTCACTGTGAGGTAACCAATTAAGAGATGTAGACTAATCCTTGAAAGTTTAGCCTAACCAGTTCATTGCTTGGATGAACTGAGAAAGCTCTGCCCATACTAAAGATGCCTTTGTTGGCTTTTACCCTGTTACCTCAGTTTGCTCAACTGTTTGGCTCTCGAGACAAACAAGCACCACGTAAAGCAATGGTTCTGAAAACCCCTAAAGCTTCAAAGCAATCATATATTTCAAACAGTAACTACATCGCATAATTATGCAGATTTCTCTTTCAAGTACACAACACTACTACACAATGTCACCCGCACTGCAATCTTGTTTGTGTTCAAATGATAAATCAATTTTTCATGGTATAAAAATCAAGCTATAAAACTTCATAAATTGCTTGATTCTGACTATATGAGGACGAGTAGAGATATACATCAACACACCTCAATGTGGTGTGTTGAGAGGTTTGTGATGCCTCTAAGATAAGGCCAATGACCCTGTATCTGTCTTCAGGCCTTTTTTAACAGTTTGCTGGTATGCTGTGATTGTTTTAATAACACAATTATCTATAGAGACTTCTATTTCATACTGACATACTCCATATACTTTAATCTTCAGGGCGAAAATGTGTTTTACTGTTTTTAGGTAGATCTAAATTCCCTCTGAAGCTTTTACCTCACTATGACATCACATAATGAAAGAGACCTGTGCACATTACTGTGTCAACACTGAGAACATGACAATGCAGTATCATTGTGAATCCCTCTGAAGTAAAGACGGTTGAGATCCTGTTGTATAAATAAGTTCACTTATTTCCTAAAACTTCCTGCTATGCTATTCCTTTTATTCTCCCTAGCAAATAGCATGCACATTATATGATCTT